CGCAGCCGCCCCGCCCGCCCCCTCAGCCGCAGCCGCCAAGCACCGCCCGCTGCGCCCCTGGCCGGGCCGGGCTCTCGGCGGGCGCGGACGGGGCTGCCGCCTAACGGCCAGCCGGGGCGCAGCGGGGCTGCCAGCCGGCCGTCGCCTGTGGGCGCGCAGCTCCCGGGCTCTATGCGCGGCGAGCTGAAGGAGCCGGCGGTGTCGGAGGCGGCCGGATCATCACAGGCTCCCTCGAAGGCCCGGGCCGCATTGATGGAGGTCCGCCGGTGAAGCGCCTCCGGGAGAGACCCGCATCCGAGGGGTGTCGGCCCTCCTTTCGCACCGCCGGCCAGGAGCCTCTGAAGAGGCGCAGCTGTTTGTCAGCCTGCAACTTTAACCGGCCCCTTCACTTCCTTGCAAACTGGAGGGTCTTTCACAGGCCGAATGCAGGAAGAAGATGCCCTTCAAGAGGCTCTGGGAAGCTCAGCCTCAATGCAAAAACAAAACTTCACACTACAGTTGAACACCAGGTGCCCTAAAAGCCTGCAACCCTTCTAAGCGCATCTGACCCCAATCTTTGGCCTCTTCTGGTCTCAGTCTCCAAGTTTGCTCCTCATCTTGGAAAAGCTACCAGGATTTGACCAGCCCGTGCAATATGGACAACACTGAACCAAATTTGCCCCGGCCATGGATGCCCTGTGGATGCCCTGTGTTAAGCCAGGCAAAATACCATCAACCAAATTGTAACAGGGGCAGAAAACCAAGCTCTCCTACATATAGTGACAGAGTACCAAAATAGAGCCTTTGGTGGAGACAAAGGAAGCAAAAATTGTATCTGTAAATAAGATACGTTTCATATTTTACATTTCATATTTTGTATTTGTATTGCCTGTACTTTTATTAACATGATGTGAATGTTCCATATGACAAATAGACAAACAATCTAGTCTTTATTCATTAGTTACAAGAGAAATAATGAATTGGGCATTGAAAAAATTCTGCCTTAACATTCATTTTGTTCTGCCTTAGTATACTTTCTATAACGAAATACATTACTTATTTCAATTTATTATAGCTCTCCATATAGGCAGCTTACAATTGGCAATAATTGTTGTATCCCCAAAAGGCAATCACAGGATTTGAAGTCAGCACTACTGGTGGGATCCCAATTAGGGAGGGCCAATAGAAACTGACTAAGCCAAAAGTTTGCAACATCTCAGTTCTGTAAATTGCCCTCCTCCCATTTCTTCAGCCAGTATTTTGATTTATTGCATTCAGACGTTTCTTTCTTGGATCATGAGAATGTGAGAAACAAAATCTCAGAATTACTTAGATCATGCTCTTCTGGGGAACAAGGCTACTCTCTTTCCACAGCCCTGCCCGGTTCCTCTCCAGAATGCAGGGAATAAGCATGGATTGCACCGAGTTTACCTTTTCCATCACTCGTGAGTTGGGCCCATCTGAATGCCGTTCAAGGCCACTGCTGCGCTTTTGATGGACAAATGAAAGGTTTCCTTTGGATTTTGGCCTAGAGGAATTCAGTACTTTGTCAGTACGTGCATGGGAGAGCTCATCTAACTCCAGTGCTCCAATACACATTTCTTACTTTATCCTGTTTATGATTTTTTTTGCCACAATTCCAACAGAACAATCAAAGCAGGTCTGAGCAGTCACTTATCCAGGAAGCTTTGATGAATCTTTTCAGCAAACAGACAATGAAGAAAATTGGTTCTTCTTTTCTTCATTTCACCTGTGGTTCACTTTCAAGACACCACGCCCAAGGCATCCTCTGAAGGCTTCTCGCCCCGAGATCGGCTTTCTACAAAACAAAGTCCTGCAGCTTGGAGAAACATCTCACTGGCTCCCACACTTTGTGTTTCTCCAGCAGCTGAGAACTGGAGTGGAGCGAAGTAGGAGTTGGTCTGGCAGAGGCCTGAGGGCATTAACTGCCTTGGCTCTGAAATGTGCTGTTGGATGGTCTGCTGCTGGCACGGGTAGGTGAGCTCCCAATAGACTTTACGGGAATCCGGTGGCACCTCTGACCATCTTTGGCAAAGGGCTGGTGGTTTCTATCGCAAGTCGGCTCTTATTGTTCCTGGGCTTCTCTATCTCAGAGGGAACGAGAAGACCTTATTGCCAGATTTGCAACGGACTTCCGTCCCAGGAATTTGCAGCAAGTGGCTGGAGTCCTCAAAGCCATCCACAATCTCCTGCAACAACAACAGGGAGGCAAAATAAGAACAGCCTGGCAGAATTCATCAGCACCAACTTTTGCCTCCAGCTTGGCTCAGTTCTTTGGTTATCCACTCATTCCAAGTTGCTTAAAGCCTACTCAGCTGGATCCCTGCAAAGGCAGGAGCTCCCTCCACCCCAATCGCCTGCTCAGTCTTCCTGAGCTCTGAGACGAACATGGATCCACCTCAAACAGGTCTGAAGTTTGAACCAAGTCCATTTCAAAATTGGGACACAGAATGACCTGTATGGAGACCCAACTGTCTGCTAATGTCAGGCACACACAATCAGCCCTACAAATGTAGGGGTCAAGCTGAATGTTTTGTTGTATCCTGCCTATAATACAAGAATCTCCCTACACTGCATGCCTTCTCTTGGGAACAGACAGTGTGTGTGTGTGTGTGTGTGTGTGTGCGCGCCCAGTTCTCTTGTGGCTATGCAATCACTCAAGGCTAATTCCCCACTTGATCCCTCCTCCTTGCCTGGCAGAAAGTTTCCCCAAAGCTAAAGGCTTCCAGGCTGATTACCTGCATTTCCTGCATACACTGGCCTCCGAGGGCTTCCGACATATTCCCCACACACCAGGCGAGGCTCATGTGGAATGAGGGATCCTATGAACAACCACCAAAAGTCAAGATCAGAGGAAGGTCCACTAGCACAGCCAAGCAGAGCAGGCAGAACCTTAGGCATAGCACACTGACTGCCAACATTTCAATTGGAACAAATTGGAGCCATATTCTGCATTGCAAGACGGTTCATAAAACAGAGGTAAAAGAATCAAACACTGGTAACTGAATACTGACTACCCTAAGCAGAGTGGAGGGGAACAAGAAGACTGAAGCTGTTGGAAGTGCATTTAAACAGCTGCTTAATTGATGGTTCAACCGTTACCCTTCAGCTTCCTCCAGAGACTCATTCTAAAGCAGTCACTCCTTATTTTCCCTGCGATGGCTACAAGCCTCACCTTGTAAAAAGGCATGAGGTTAAATTCCTTCATAACTTCATCCACTTCTGAAACCATCTCCATCATCTGAGAATGTCCTGAAGAGACTTCTAAGCCAACAAAGGTCCTGCAAGAAGATTTTTAGAGAGTAACTGGCAGCAGCTCTTCCGTGGTCAACCTCTTGCATGGAGAGCCACTCGGTTCCCAAACGCAAGAGAAGAGCGCATGGCAACAGGGCACCTGCAGAAAACAGAAAGGCTTTCTTGGAGATGCGCATGGCTCTCAGGTGACGCCAAACGGACAGCACAAAAGGTTTTAAAGTTCAGGGGGAAAAGAAGAGGAAGCATAAGAGCAAAGGACCACTTTCTGGTAAGAAGGCAACTGTACTGAAGAAGCACCACCTGCATTAGCTAAGGAGGAGTTAATGGAGGAAATCTGCTGAGCAGGGATGCCCTGGACCTTGGCGGGGGCTGGAAGGAAGGAAGGAGGGAGGGAGGGAGGGAAGGAAGGGGAGGAGCTGGCAAAATGTGGGGCTGGTGGAATCTGCTGTGCCTGGAATTGAAGGAATTCCCATAGGAACAAGAAATTGCAGTCCTTGTTAGGCTGAACAGACACCTCTATCCTCATCTGTTGAAGGGGAGGGGGGGTGGGATTCATAGAGACTATTTCCAAGAGAGCTCCTTTACCTCTGCCAGTCCCTGCAGCCCTTGTGCCATGGAGCCCCCTCCTCTTCAGGACAGAGGCACATCCATTCAGATACCCCCCATTTGCAACCGGAACAGGGGCAGGCAAAACCCCTGAGCAGAGACTATCCTGGAGTTGGAAAAGCCACACTGGGCGTGCTGACACACCTTGCCTTCCTCCTTTTCATACCCAGAAATATTTGCTAATGCAACTGAAGCCATCTTCCCACCCTAATGGCCAGTTCCTTCTATTTCTAGCCCACACAACTCTCCATATCTCTTTGAAGGAGGAGATCCACAATCCTTCACCCACCTGGTTTTGGTCTCATTGGTATAAATCTTCACTTGATCAGCTCTGAATATGAACCTGAAAAACAGCAGAGATTCCAACTAATCTGGAAACGAAAGGCAGAAGCAAGAGAGACCCAAGAGGGGTGCAGGTCAGAGCTACCTCTCTGATTCTCCGGGACTTTCTGGTGACACTTCCAAACTTCAAACCCAATTCAATTATGCCAATTTAAACATTGGGCTACTTTTCCCTCCTTCATTGCATGCTGAGATTTGGGGACACTCACCTAATTTATTTACTATTTCAATTTCTATGGACGCCCATCTCAATCCCGAAAATATATTATGATTAAAAATTAAATAAAACAAACATTTTAAAAGAATAAAAACAGGAAACCAGTGAAAAACATTGAAAGTATCTAATTCAACCTACACAAGACCAAGATACTTGGCCAATTAGCAATACAGGCAGGGCCCTTCGCACATTCAGCGCCACAGGCTTGAAAAACAGGCAGGTTCTTAGGGCCTTAGGAAGAGCTAAGGGAGCCGGGGCCAGTCTGCTCTCCAAAGATCCCAGTTGACGATGGGAAAGGAAGCTTACATGCTGCCAAGCAAATCACCAGCCTCTCACATGTTTATTTGTAGCAACATGTTGGACCCCACAGAGTCCCTCTGGGACAGGGAAGAGCATTTTGGCAACCTGTCTGCTACATGGTAAATGACAACTCAGTCATGCCAGCTGTGACCTCCCACGGCAGCCATCGTGCAAGGCCCCCAATGTGGGTTATCAGAAATGTCCCTGACCCCAAAACTGCCCCTTCCATGCGCGGGAAGCAGAGTCAAGGACTCCTGAAGGGCGGGTGCTTCTCAAGCATCATGAACTGTCAGCTGGCTGAGGAGGGGACTGAGTGAGTAGCTCTGCAATTTCTTTGCCCCCTTGTCACATCTGGTGAAAATTAGCGCCACGGCTTTCTACTGCCTTGGGGCATGAAACAAAAAAAATATCTTCGTAGATTAACATAGTTTAAAAACAAACAAGAATCTTCCACTCAGAAAGGCCAACACAAGACACAGGGAAAAGCAGAAGCTTCTGGCCCCACAGGCTTATTGCGCACTTTGCAACATCATTGTTTTGCTTTGCTGTGACTGTAGAATAGAGGCTCTCAATCTCGGCAAGATTAATATATGTGGACTTGCAGCTGAGGAATTCTGGGAGTTGAAGTCCATGCAGCTTAAAACTTGCCAAATTTGAGAAACAGAAGGAAAATGCTTGCAGCCACAACAGGTGTTCCCTCCTGCGGGTTTTTATTTATGCTGCCCATCCCCCAAAGGCATTTATCAATACCTGATGGGCTTCTGTTTCTGCCTTGCCCATATCTACTGGTCTGCTCTTGTCGGAAGCCCAGCTAAACTCCAGGTAACCTCCCCAAAGTGACCTGTAAGTCCTATCCTATCAGTCACAATAGGAACTCACAGCCAGCATGGCCTATGGGCCTCACCTGTGGTAGGAAGCCATGCGTTCTTTGAGGGACTGGATAAAAGAGTTGATCCAGTGATGGCGCAACACCACGCCTTGAGAGAGGCTGATGTGGAATTCTTCCTGTCCCATCAGTGGAGGAACATAAGTGCGCCCACAGATTAAGAGGAGCTGCAGTAAATCCAGAAAGTCCTCCACAGCTTTGTCTGTGGAAAAAGCAGAACAGGCTCTCTTAAAACTATATGACCCCTTTTCCTGGTCTCAAATATTATTACCCTCCCCCCCATCTCAACTCACTCCCACAAGTCTACTATTTTACACAAGCATCTCAACAGCAGGAATGCCAAACAGTCTGCAAACAAGCAATTCAAGGACGTGCTCTACTAATGTCCAGTTAAGAAGCACTGCTTTAAATGCTTTTTGCCCTGGCCGAGGATGCCAGAAAGGCCCTAAGTACATTCTAAGATGTACTTAGAATCCCAAGGTTGGGAGGACCCTGGCAAGATGGCCACCATGGGAGGGCATGGCCAGCGTGATTGACCATGCAACAGAACGAACTGCCAGACTTCCCAATCCACCCTCAGCCAGGTCCAGGAATCCTCAGATCCCTGCCCTATAAATGTTGTCCAGCCCTACAACTTCAGGAGCTAGGCTACTCCACTACTTAACAGGTTTCACTGTCAGGAAATTGTTATTTTCAGTTTAGACCACTCTCTGCAAAGGTCTCACCAATTGGGTCCAGTTCCGCCCTCAGGAGCTATGCAAAGTAAATCCACCCCTGTCCATGGAAGACTGAAATGGCTCTTCTCTTCTTCGGGCTCAACAGCCCTGTCCCTTTAACTGCTCTCTGTAGGATCTCACCCGCAAGCCCCTCACTATATGGAGGGCTTTTCTCTGCATGCTTTCCAGTCCCTTGGCATCCTTTCTGCCTTGGGGTGGTCAGAATCAAGGACGACAGTATTGAAAGTTCCTGAAAGATCATGGAGAACAAGGATGGCTGCACTAGCCCTCACTTGCTCTCACTTATGGGACAAAAGTGTCCAGGCAAGTGGGATCAAGCAATGTTTTTTTGAGGAAGGGGAGAACCAGAGACTCCTTAAAAGGCCCTCTTGGAGTGAGGAATTGCTCACTGCCTGAACCTACCAGTCACCATCCTGGAAGCTTTCACCAATCAGCAAGTTCAAGGGTCTGATTGACAGATGGTTGCACTGTTCACGCCAAGGACCCTGTTCACTTCCTTGGCTCAAACAGGATTGAAATGTCCCCAGATAAGTGAGCAAGACCTTTCACCAGGCATCCCACATGGACCTGAACCGCACTCCAACTGGGAAACAATCTTTGTGCATTGGGTGTTCAACAAGTTCCTCTGCACAGCCTCCAATCAACAAAGCACATTATGGAAAAGAATGCACCAAACTGGGCACATTAAAAAAATACACATTCCTTCATTTCCCCCCCCAGAAACCCAAAGTTCTTCCATTGCTTTAGAAATGTTTGGAAAGGTTAGCTCTCTGGGCAGGTCAGAAGCACAGAAAGCCTTGCTCCAGCGTTCCACTCTGCTCAAGGCAACCATAAAGATTCCCATGGCCAGGACCAATCCTGCACTCCTCTTCCAGAGAAGGGGAAAACATTAAGAGACTTACATGGCAGGTATACATGGGTTGCCCAGTTGCCTCGTTCATGAGGAAATGTCCGCAGGCGGCCTTCGTGTTTACTACAGTCATCCACCACCTTTTCCTTCTCTTCCTGATCCCTGAACATCCTCCGCACACTGTCTGGCAAGGGGAGGGAGGGCATAGCAGCTCTGCAAAATGGATGGAGAGAGTTGACAGCCAAAGCATTTTCTGCTCCAAGACCAGAAGACAAGCAGCCTTGGGACAGATGTCGCATGGGCCCCTATCCCTGCCCAACAGCAACAGCACCACTTGTCCAGTTAGGGTAAGTGGAAAGGGTGGGGTTTTCCAGTTAGGGCAGGACAAAGAGGGATCCCGGGAGTAGGGCACAGAAGGACAGTCCCCTCCCCACTGATAGCAAGTGAAGAAATAGGCCAGGTCAGAAATCTGGGCAAGGACTGTTGCAGCTCGTCTAAGGAGAAACTTCTCAGACTTAAGGAAAGAGCACCTGGTCACAAAGGGGGACTTGATGGCTAGGCGTCTTTCCCTGGGCTAAGAGAACAGAACTGCCTCTTCCAGAAGAGGCTCATCTGGGATAGCCTGAAATACGTTGGCTTTTTTTGTAGTTTTACTTATTGTGTTTATGGAGTTCATTGCCCCAACCCCAGTTAGCTCCATTCAACAGGCAGCTTCAATGCCTCCTGTGGTCCATGAAAAACCATCTGCCCCAAATGTCAGGAGTTACCAGAGGCGGCCCCCGGCTCCTTCCACCGGCTGAGCCCAGACGGGGCTTTCCCCTCCTCCTTTCCCCCATTCGCGCAACTCCAGCGCTGCTCTGGTTGGGGCTTCAGAGCCTCCAGGCGTCACTGGCGCGGCCCAGGCCGAATCCGACCAAGAGGCCAGCGCCGCAGAGAGAGGCCCGGCCGCCCCTCTGCCCACAGCAGCCGCCCGGGCGGAAGGAAGCGGAGCCTGGGAGGGGCGGCTGTGCCAAGGCAGCCGGGATGGGGCCTGGGGCGCCACCAACGCCAGCCTAGCCTGCGGGGAAAGAGACGCCGCCCTCGGGAGGGAGGACGGGCGCGGGAGAGCGGAGGCTCCTCGGAGGCGCCCAAGCCTAGCGCCGCCACCGCAGGTCGGAAGCGGCTCACCTGCTGCCCGGAGGGGAGAGGCCGCGGCCGCCCTTCGGCCCGGCCCCAGCGTCCCCGCTGCTCCTCTTGCTCCTCTCCCGGGCGGCGCCGGCCTCGCTCTCTCCCTCCGAGCCGGAGCTGCTGTAGTCCACCAGCGCTGCCCTCATGGCCGGAAGCAGGAAGCCGACGCGTCGCGCCTGCGCAGAAAGGACACCCCTATAGAGTCGCCTCCGCCGCCGCGCTTCCGGTGGGCCACTTCCGGTGACCCCAACTTTCGGGTAGTTCCCCCCGTGGAGTCGGTGAACGGAGCGCTGAGTCCTTCCTCCGTCTCGGGCACTCCGGCTCTCCGACCCACCGGAGGGAGGAAGAAGACTCTGACCCTGGTGCCCCGCAGCTGAAGGAGAACCTCTGCCTGCTGTGGAGTCGTCATAATAAAAGTTTCTTTCAACACGTAAACAGGAAGTCAAGGAAATGATTGGTTCTTTAATGGAAGAGAGCAAGGAGATGACAAGCAACGGGGAGAAAGAGCTGCTTACTTCGTTTTTTGCACTTGTAGCCCAATGTACAAAAGCAATACTATAAAATACAGATTAGGAATAAAACTCAAAATAAACAAGAAAATGGTACGGAAACGCCTATGCACTCTGTGGGAAGCCACCCCTCTACTACTTCCTAAAAGAATGAAATATTGGAGGGAATATTAAAGGAGAAATTGAGAAAAAGCAGAAAGCACCTCCAAAGCCTTCAGCAGATGCCTGAAATCTTTAGAGATGGATATTTTGTGCCCATTAAGAAATCCAGGCCTATCTATTCATAAACAAAATATCTTCAGCTCCAGGTGATGAAATTAAGAAGGACAGGACTGCACCTTTAGAGCATAATAGGATTAACCCACCATCAATTAAATAATAAAAACACACAAAGCAAACCTCAAAATTATAAAATACCGTAAACTATAAAAATCACTGCACTCATCAAGCTAATGTGCCAGCTGTCCCAGAACTGCATACTGTGTTGGTTCTGCTCAACAAAGAGTCCTCCATTTTATTTCCACCACCCTTCTCCCAGTTTAGAATGTAGAATGGTTGCAGGAATTGGATATGTCCAGTCCAACAAAAAGAAGGACTACGGGTGTCATGATAATTGTGTTCCAATATTTGAGGGGCTGCCACAAAGACAAGGGGATCAACCTATTTTTCAAAGCACCAGAAGGCAAGAAACGATGGATGGAAACTAATCAAGGATAGAATCATCCTAGAACTAAGGCCAGAGGTGGGTTCCTACCAGTTTGGACCAGTTGGGCTGAACCAATAATGGTTTGGTGGCCTGGGTCGCTGCTGCCACACCCCCGAACTGGTTCTCCTACAGGGCTGCCATCTTGATTTTTGGTTCTGCGCATCGCAGAACAGTTGTAATTGCACAAATTTAATTTAATTTCTTTTTTTAACGTTTTGCACATGCACAAACCTATTTTTGTGCAAATGCACACCGAACTGGCAGTAATGCTGGGAGCAACCCACCCCTGACTAAGACATTTCCTGACAGCATGGATAATTAATCAGTGGAATGGCTTGCTTCCAGAAGTTGTGGATGCTCCATCACTGGAGAATTTTAAGATGAGATTGGAAATCCATTTGTCTGGAATAGGACAGGATCTCCTGCTTGAGCAGGGTGTTGGACTAGATAGAAGACCTCTAAGGCCCCTTCCAACTTTGTTATTGTAAGGACCTGCCTCAGCAATATTCACAGAATGCATGATTCTTGAAATAAACGGTATTTCAAAAGGAACTTTTACTGAGAGAAGTGACTGCAGAGAAGTCAGGTGGAGTCTGAAGATTTTCGTGCAAAGTGTTAAGTTAATGCCCCCTGTTCAGCCCCCACCCAGAGCCCCATGTCCACCAGTGGCCAATACGATGCCACAAAGGTGTTATGAGAACTCCGAGGCAGGATGGTGAAAACAGGTCAACCTCTGGGTGGTGCGATCTTGGGTAATAGGCTGGAACTGACTGGGAGGGAATCTGCAAAAGCCAAAGCGTTCAAAGCAATCAGCCCCAAGAAGCATCTCCCCTTTCTTTTGGAATGGCAGCATTCCTGCAGAGACCTGAAAGTTATTCTATATTCTGTGGTCCTCACTTAATGACTGCTCATTTAACAATTGTTCAACCCCACCCCATTTCTTTAAAAAAAAACCTTTTTTAAAAGGAAATGCACATTTTGAAGAATGGATTTGCTTAAGAACCATTTCTTTTGCTTAATGATTTTGGTGATTTGCTTTAAGTCATGTGGTGACCTCTTAATAAGCACAATGACTTACAATGGAAATTCTGGACCCAACTGTGGTCATTAAATGAGGACCAGCTGTCATATATACAATGCAGGACAAAATGTGGTGGGCTTGCATTTCAAGAAGGTAGGATCTGTTGTAGGTGAGGAAATATGAATTTCATTTTGTTAGATAGTGCCCAAGGTTCAAGTCTATCAAGATCTTTCTGTATCTTAAGCGTGTCTTCCAGAATGTTGGTTATTTCTGCTAGCTTGGTGTCACCTGCAAATTTGATGAGTTCCCCATCAATCCCCTCATTCAAATCATTGATGAATATGTTGAAGAACACTGGGCCTAAAACAGAGCCCTGGGGTACCCCACTCCATACCTCCCTCCATGTAGATGCAGTTCCATTGAGGACTACACATTGAGTGTGGTTGGTCAGCCAGTTACGAATCCATCTGGTGGTGATGCTGTCTAACCCACATTTCTCTACACTATCTAGTAGTAGGTCCCTGATGGTGAACCTATGGCACGGCA